TGAGAGGGCCAAGGGCGTCGTGAGGTCCTACTTTACTTAATTTCATCCGTCATTTTGTACCTCTAGGGCGTCGAGGGGAGAAAAAGCTTCTTGTCTCTAGTATGTTTGATGGCCTGGCTGGGTGGGATATTGCATGTTCTAAGGGTATCCTTCACACCCTGGATCCAAGTCTCTCTTGGTCTTCCTCTTGCCTGGTCGTGAGGTCAAGGGGTTATGAGGTCAAGGAGGCTCTTTAGGTCAAAGGTATCATGATGGAGGTCAAAAGGTGATGAAGTTAAAGGGGTCATGAGGTAAAAGGAATAATGAGATCATGGGGATGATGAGGTCAAGGGGGTCATCAAGTCAAAGCGTGATGAAGTTAAAGGGGTCTTGAGAAGGTGGTCATGAGGCCAAGGGGGTCAAGAGGTCAAAAGGGATCATGAAATAAGAGTTTATGTGGTTAAGAGGAGTGAAAAGTTCGTGGGGGTAATTTCATGGGTTCGGGTTCATGATGCTGAGATGTCATTAGTAAACGGATATCACGGCTTAGGGATAATATGGTCAAGAGGTCAATGAGATCATGATTTTATGGGGGTAGACCACCTCTCCAAAAATTAAAAGAAAGAAAGAAGTAAAGAAAGAGGTAAAGAAAGAAAGAAAGAAATAGATTAATAGATAAATAGATAAATAAGTATAATGAGGTAACCAAATTCTCAAAACCATGATGTTTGCATCAGACTGTAAAGGCAGTAGTTCCTTTTCCACCTACAGAGCCATCCATACTCGTTGATAAAAACCTCCCTCTGGTAAAAACAAATGGGTACATGTTAAAAAGTCGAAGCAAAAGCCTTGTCATGTGATGGCGTAATCAAATATTGTGACGTCAAACTGGTTTTATGGCGCTATTGTTCCGCCCTCATGAATGCCGCTCCGATCACAACCAGTTTCCGGAATATAACGACTGGTTTATTTTCTTACTAATTCCGAGTCAAAATAGTCCGACGGTGGACACTTTCGTAGTCCCCGAGAATTATTGACCAACGCTAATAGGTCTGCTCGCTACTATCCACTGAATTGTGTCGATAGTGCCGTAAAACATTTACCCAATCAATCAATCAAAATATTATCAACTGACATTTTCACAAAATGTCAGTAATATATAAGTTTGCATTGGAAGTATGTGACAGATTTATTAAGACACGTGCTGTTAAGAGGACTTTTCGTTCTGTTTTCTTTTTCTTTTTTTCTTCTTTATTGATATCTCACTGTTTGTCTCTGTTCCTG